CGCACACGGGGGAGGTGGAGACGGGCCGCGTGCACGTGGGAGGTGGAGACGGACCGTGCACACACGGGGGAGGTGGAGACGGGGCCGCGTGCACGTGGGAGGTGGAGATGGACCGTGCACACATGGGGGAGGTGGAGACGGGGCTGCGCGCACATGGGAGGTGGAGACTGGGGCGCGCATAGTGCGTAGACAGGCCCCCGAGAACACTTAGAGACTGACATCCGTGCCGAGTGCACTCCGAGGCGAGGAGACCACCAAAGACAGTCCACGTGATGCAGAGTCCACTTCAACCAGAGCTGAAAGACTCGGCCGTCGTAAGGTGCGCCTCACAGCTTACGCTCCGGGGAGCAGCCCCGACGAGTGAAGGGGAAGCGCTGGCAGCCCGGGGGCTGCGGCACTGCTGGCTGCGCAGACCTGCGGCTCCTTCACCAGCCAACTTCCCGCTCCAAGTGCACGCAGAGCTGTTGGAAGTGGGCCACCGCCAGGTCACAAAGAGGGGCTCAGACGCCAGGGCCCACGTGACTCAAGACACTCGGAGACGCCCACCCTGTGAGGGCCACGGTGCCGACGTCAACACCGAGCAGGGCGGTCCTTGCTGTCACGCTGCCATGAGCCGGCCGGGTGCTAAGTACATCTTTCTTTGTTTCTTTTCTTTTCTTTTTGTTTTTGTTTTCCCATAGGGCAGGCACATGCACTCACTGGAGAGAGACAAGAGACAGAGAGAGACAGAGGTGGGATGAGAAATCACCCTCCAGGGAAGATGGCCATCCGTGATCTTTCCTGCTCACCTCCTCTCAGGATCTGGGGCACACTTGCACGCACACCCAGCCTGACTGGCCTGATTTTCAAGCCTCCAGGGCGGGGACTCAAACCATAGTTGACTTTTTGGGAGTTCAACACCTTAACCACTATGTCACCTGCTGACTTCTGATTAGCCCTTTCTTTTCTTTTTTTTTTTAAAGAATTATCTAATTTTATTTATTCATTCATTTATTTTAATTTGACCAGAGAGAGAAAGTGAGAAAGAAAGCCACCAGGTCTAGGACTCAAACCATGGCCAGCCGTGTGGGAGTCCAGCGCCTTAACCACCACTCCACCTGCTGGTCTCCAGCTCTTTCCAACTTAAGACTCTTGGTCAAGTGGATTCCCTCCCTCCTGAAACACAAACGTCAGGTGGAAAACTCGGCAGCGAGGAAATACCGGTCTTGGAAAAGCAACCCAGTCCAGCTCCACAGAGGTCAATCAAAGCCTGGAAGGGCCACCAAGCCACTCGGATCATGGACCTGCTGCCGAGGACAGAGCTCAGCATCGCCGCCGCTCGGCAGGTAAGACACGCGACATCCAGCGGCCCACCCAACAGCCGTGTGAGCACAAC